TTAAGTGCAGACTAGGCGCTCATTTGTTGGGAACCTACTGTACACATAATAATGATTGTTTTAGCGGCGGCAGTTTGCGCCTAGCTCACACTTACCGCTAACTTCTTAACTTTTCGCATTTGCTGATGTAACTGATGACTTTATTTCCGTTTATCGATATGAATAGGGAGCTCAAGGGCGAAAGCCTCATTCGCTTAATAAACTGACTTGAAAACTGACTTGCCTTGGTGAACTCTGTCCTCAGCCACCCAGACGTTCAGAAGACTTTATCGAGATAGTCTTAATTCCCTACAGATACTCACTGAAAAACAACAATACCTTTTCGGTTGTTCCTGGGTCGTTCATAAATCTGACTTAAGAGTAAAGGGATACTATATTAACAGCACAGGCATTAGCCAAAAGTCCATGCACGCGTGATTGAATATTTGGCCGAAGACCATCAGCCACAGGGGGTAACCGTGTAATGTTCATTAACTGTCGACAGGCAGCTAATAGTATACTTTGGGATAAAGGGTTACCATACTTACAGCACAGGTATTAGCCAAAAGTCATTCACTGTTAGTGTGATATCCCTTTACCCCAAAGTATACTACCGGCTGTCTGTCGACAGACAGATCTGCAGTTAATGAATACTATGCAGTTGCCCTTCGTGGCTGACGGACTTCAGTCCAAATACTGACACATGAAAAATTCGGTCTAAGCCTATAGACAGAATATACTGATCTACTCCAAGTTCGTAGTTAATTTCGAAGGAAATTAATAAGCAATAAATCTGACTGTTTGGAAAGAGAAGGACAATTAAAGGGTGCTGGCATACCCTAGAGGCTTCCTCATGGCTTCCCTTGATTTTGCAGCTTTCCGACGACAGGTGTGCTTTGCTTAAGATCATTATATTTTTAGCATGAAACGGACTTTAAACTGGAGGAACTTGATGCGCATGTTAGAGAGGTAAGTGCATGAACTTCCGATTTGTATTAGCAATAATTATCGCGAATCTAGATTCTCATCAACGTAAGACTCTGAGCGCTTCTGTTTACACAAAATCTTTTATTCCACGTTTATTCGTCTATTTATATTATGTAGAAAGCAGCGTAGACGCCCCCAGGGGGTGTTACCAGGGGATGTTACTGCAGACTAACTGGATCCAGTTAGTCTGCAGTTATCAATGTGATTGGGTGGCCCTTGTCAGTGGTCACCGCGGCCACAGTCCGCCCAGCAATCCCTTGGCGTGGTTGGCGTAGGCTGTGTCCATTCTGCTGAACAGATGACTAGTCGTACACAAGCCCACAAATGTGAGTTTTTAGTGTATGGCTAGACATCGGGTGGTACGGTATTTTCAGGGGTCTTACTGGTTTACGAACCGGAGCGAAGACATTCAAAGCTTTACTACCTTCCCTCCACTCCACATGCATTAACTCCGACCAATTTTCCATAACGGTGATACTGCAATGTGAAATCCAATTAAGTCGCACTTTCACGACTAGATCATTTTGAAGCTCCCATTATACTTTTACCGATCTAGACGTCCTTAATGACCACTTGGTTCGTAGAATGGTTTAATTAGGCGTTCAGAAAACGCAGCAGCAGTGTCAGGTCTCCTAATCGGTTTTAATTTATAGTTGGCGTAATATGAACCGATATGCACCTGACCGCCAAACCTCTTCTCTTAAAGACGTTTCTTGTCTCGCCTATTGCCACTGCCTTTTGGTGTCCAGTAGTTTTGGCGTTTCGCTTACGAATCTATGAGTCTCATATTCTGCCTTACGTCTGGTTAACTTTGCTGCATTTGCGTTTTTCGGATGCTTGAATATCTTTATTTTTTATTTCGCGGATTTTCAGGAGGCATTTTCCGAATGCAAAACTTATCTGGCCAACCGTAATCATGAAAAACTAGCTGACTGCCTAGCCTGTCTTCGCGTACTCAGCAGAGATCGGACCTTGCAAAGCAAACTTGCCGAACCAGATATTCTTACACATCTCATCCGAGAGGCTGGACTTGACTCAACGCAGACTGTGGATAGTACCGTTTATGACAGCGAGTGCGCTGTGGAATCTCTTAAGTGCTTGTCAAACGTGGTTTTCCAGAACCCATTGGTCATATCCACTCTCAAGTAGCTTGTAAATAAGCCTCCTGACTTCTTTAAGATCTCATGGATGCCTCGACAGTCTGGTGTCCCGATGTGAGAAGAATTCCAAAGAGTTATTTAATGCGGAAATACTGGTGGGTATATCCTTTCTTAAGTGTTTTACTTGCCTCTTATAAGCTCTTCGACCTAAAACTGCTTTTCCTGCTATCTGCACTCGATCGGCAAGCGAGGTATGTGCGTATGCGTTTTTCGACTTTCACAGGCTAGAGCTTCTTACCAACAACTTTGCCTCCGATAATTTTCCTGACATACTAAGACGGATTACGGACATGGATTTTCTAAAATCTCAGCTTGCTTTTGATTGTGCCCAAGAAATGCTTAAGTTTCTTTTCAACCTGGGGTATGCGAGGAAGGAATTAGGGCACAGCGAGGTAAGATGGCCCACTTCTCTTTTATCTGATTTCTTTTGATAGGTTACATATGAAACTACCTACCGCTCACTCACACCTGTTGTACGTGATCTACTTGTCAAACAAACTTCCTCCCCAACCATGCGTTTTGGACTTATAAAGTAGGTTTTGCTGAGCAATATTTTAGTTGGTTTTCAACCTGCTTAGATTACTGTCTTCCCTTCCATTCGAGTTGTTATTTTGAATACATTTTTGTCCCCTCGTTGTATTTCCATGTTCATATCTCCTGTGAAGTTTATTTAGGTTGAATTTAGCTGTTTCCTCTTAGCCCTAGTTCAAGGCCTTTCCTTGTATGCTTCTAACTTATTTCCGCTTTTCACATTGTTTTACAGTCATTGCGTAAATCTCTTGACGACCGTTCCAGTCACCTGTTATGCACTCCTCCTCTTCGATCCTGCTGACCCCATCTCAGACAGCCCACCGCCACATAAGGATGAAAATGTCTGCCGAGCCCTGGCCTCATTACTAGACTTTTTAGATCATCAGCTTTCACAGGTATGTAGTACAAGCTCAGTAATCTTAGTATAGTACAGCAGCCAGTTCGTTCAGTGACACTCATAGGATCTTTAGCTGAATACTTATAACGTTTGCCACTTTTCAGCCGTTGCCATTGACTAAAATTAGCCTGACAGTCCCGCTGAATATGCAATTTTTACACGCCAAGTCTAACAGAAAGCGTCTTTTCATCCTCTTTGCATCCCACCTCCGGAGTCAGTAGTTAATGGGCTGCAGCATGGAAAAATTGATTCGAACTGGAAACCCGAGGCCGAAATTGGGCAACCACGGAATATTTGGAACAGTATTCCCCACTTTCGCTTCCGTTTAGTTTGCCTGGTTATCTCACGTTCTAGGCTTGGGAACTACTGGAAGCTCCATCTGATGGTCTTTGTTTTTGATGTGCTAGGCCGACACGATGGCTTCATCATCTGGGGGATCCTCGGAGCTGCTTACGCCAATTCTGAACGTTCTCGCTTCAGCATCCAGGGCGAATAGTGTGATAAGGAAATACTGCCGCCTAAAGGTAGTTCCCTTTTCATTGTATATTATCGCTTCATTTACCAACTCACTAGACACTTTCTGTTTTTGCAGTAAATTGGGTTCTCATAGAGTCAACGTTGTCCACCACTTCCACTGACAGTTATGAATGTATTTCATGCAAAGTAGTGTTAACTGCTCATGAGAGGGTTTTGCTGCCATCCGCATACTGCTGGTTTTTCAGGGCAGGTCACCTGAAATACTGCACTTCACCCCTGATGCACCCTTATATCCTAGCTGTCGAATGTCCAGAGTTGCACAACGTTCGCAGGGTCCCTAGTTCGGAGCTTGGACTTTTTAATCTCTTTCTATTGCAAAGTTTCCAAGTCACGCTTGCCACCTGATACTGCGCTTTACTGCAGGTCTAAAACACCTTTACTTTTTGCATCAACAGTAGTCAACGATTTGAGTCTTGACAGGGAGTTGTATCATATTTTAATCTGGTCAGATCAGGATTGAGGAAGATCTGGAAAAAAACTGACAATGCGAAAAAACCATGAGCGATGTACAACTTTTATGTTCAGTCCGTGGGATCAAATCTTGTTCTTTTTCCTAATGTTGGGTGGGTCAAACTTTGACCATCTCATGGACCGACTTTACTCCTTAGTGGTTTCTACGTCGCGCAGTTAGTAGAGTTATTATGGAACTGCTTCTATACTGGATCATAAAGGCTGGTCTGTCCGTGGAATGCCAAATTACGTTTCCCTTAATTTGGTTTGCAACGCTTATCTTAGGTAAGTCGCGTTCTACCGTCAGGAGACTTTCATCTGAGATGGTTAGGTGCTAACATAGGTAAAACCTGTTCGAACCCTAATCTCGTCAGAAATTCATCTGCGGACCGGGTGAAGTCCTTCTCAGGTTAGATCCGAATGACCGCCTAATATTCGTGGCCAAAAATGTCGCAGCAGTATAATACACACTTAAATTTACAGGCGCACCCCCACACAGGGACTCGAAAAGTGTTCGTATTCATCAGCCCAGACCCATAGATCACAGTAGGTGTGTTAAATCTTGAAATGTTAACCGAACTTCTGGTATGCGTTTTCGTTTCGAAAAGGTTACTAAAGTAGGGCTGTAAAATTAATCATCGTACAGCATGATTGTATAATGATTCAGTTACCTCGGGATGCCGGCTTTCGGACGAACGTCCTTCCGGCTGCATGTAAAGACCATACTCTGCGAAAAATGACTATCTAAGCAGCATGATTTTTTCCCTTTGATTTTTGATGCTCTTAAAAATTCAATTATATTTCATGGAAAACATGCGTAAAAATATTCATTCTTCTGCTCGTCCGGTGGAAAATGGCATCTTCCAGGTTTATACTCGAAGAAAGGGGTATAATTCGCTTTTCAGAAACTGTTCCGATTCCCGAATAGTTTTGAGTCCGACCTGCCGTTAAACTTGCATTCAGGGCTTCCATACTGCAAGTCATATATTTTCCGCGTACGGAAAACCGTACATTTCTCCACGGTATTAAGAGGAGACCATGTGGGGTTCATAAAATTTAGCAGTGGATTTAAGCCATATTGTAAACTTTACAAGCCACATTTGCAACTGCAAAGACACGATGTTTTATGAACGGGCCTTTCACGATATTAAATAATCTCATAGCTAGAAACTTCTTTAAAACCAAATTTTACCCTTTCTTCAAGGATTAAATTGGAAGAAGACGCCATTTCTCTACCGGACGAGCGGAAGAATGAATGTTTTATGCATGTTTTCCATGAAATGCAATTGAATTTTTAAGAGCATCGAAAACCAATAGGAACAATTCATGCTACTTAAGTAGCCATTTTTAACAGAGTGTGGTTTTTTCATGCGGCCGGAAAGATGTTCGTTCGAAAGCCGGCATCCCGAGGTAACTGAATTATTATAGAATTATGCTGCACGATGATTCATTTTGCCACTCTACTTAAGTAATCTTTTCTAAACGAAAACGCATTCCAGAATTTCGGTTAACATTTCATGAGTTAGCACACCTTCCGTACGTTTAGTGCAATGATATATCTCATAACAATCTCATATGTCATGGCTGTATACCGCGTAAGGCTGTGTTCCAAACATGAAATATCAACATGTTCGGCAATAAAGGGTTTTCTAAATGAGCAAATGCTAGGGGATTGATGACTGCACCGAGAGTCAGTGATGCCGCCCTACCATCTCTAAGCAAACGTTTTATTTCGTAAACTATCATTTTGCTTTATTTTTCTGATTCACCAAATCTTTGCCCGCCAGATGGTTTAGCCACTTAGATCATTCCTACCTCAAATCAGCTTATTACCTGCCGCGCTCAGCTCTGTCAAAAGGCCCTCTTTCCCCCCATGTCTCGGTTCTTTGTTGTCCTCTGCCGCGGGCTCCTCACACCCTTGTTGTGCAGTTGTTTTTGACGTTTCTGTAGTAAGGCCGCAGTCGTGCATATATGGTTTTCATTCTTTGACTCTCCAGATCTTACCTTACCTCGGTGATGAGGTCAGGCATCTTCCTCAGGAAGGCACAACTCTTCGAAATAAGTAGGTCTGAACGTTCTTACCCTGATTTTGCACACCTTTAGATACGTCCCTCGTCTTGGGACTTTTTTGTGTGCTTAGTTTTGTTTATCCGAATTTCACTTCGTGTGAGAAACCCTGTAAGGTGTTGCTATGCTCCAGTGTTTTGCTCCCCCAGTCCTCTTTCTCACGCATGACTACTCCTTCGCGTCTTAATTCAAATATCTCGTTTGCTGTTTTTGCTGTGCGTCCGTTTTGCTCCGTTATTTCATGACGTCAAGATAACTATTTTGTTTTCCACTATGAAATGACGACTTATCAATGGACTTGCTGTCTTTCTCGTGCATACGCGATGACACCTTCACACTTGTCTTTCAGACTTTCTAAACGTCTTACGGCCACAGGTGCTTCCGACGGTGTTGCTGAGTCGACTGCCCTACTCATCTTCATTCTCTGCAAAGAAAAAGGTGAGTCTGATATGCAGAAGCTTTCTGTTACTGCGCTACGGCGGTTTCATTGGATGCGAACCTAAGGATGTTTCACTGGGGCTGAGCTTGGCGACTACCCCTCATATGTGCCCCTTAGGTGCAAAATCATTGCAGCACTATGGGGCGTTCGTCGTTAAGCATTTAGTGGGACCGAACAATTGGCTAAGGTGGTTTTATTTCGTTTTACGGCCGCGTGAGTGGTACTTCCTTTGTCGGGCCTTTTTTTCCTGGAGTCGGCAGCAGACGGGCGCATCGACCAGACAACCAAGTTGCGCTGTGGAAAGGAGGGACAGATAACCCTAGTATGTCTTTATGCACGTTTGGAAAAAACTGACATTGTGTCGGCCCTCCAAACTGCTCGTGGCGCCGTACCAGCTCTGGAAGAAGTCACTTGCCGTGCGGTCTGCTTTCCTCACTCTGACCCAACCTGTCGTCCATTCCTATGAGACTTGCAAGCCGTCGGGTACATGTGACGAAGGGACTGAAATATTTTTGTACAAAGCTGAAGCTACTCTGCTCATCATGCTTTACTCTCTCAGGAATAACGTGTTTTTTACACCATGACCTTTGTTCCTGGCTGTTTTTATGTTCTGATGTGTTAGGGAATTTTAACATTCTCAGCGTTTTGTACTCCGTAAGGTTTTTTCAATAAATACTTGTCTTGAAGAAGGAGACACGATCGCTGGACAAGAGCTTTATTAGCCTGACGTTTCGGATTCCTGCTCGAATGTATCATCAGAGACAACAGCAGATACGGGTGATTCACGCACAAGGGGCTTCAGTATTTATAGGATGCAGTCGCCATGCTACCGCATACCTATGAACATTCACGGCTCTCCCCTTCATCCGGGATCGTTGCACTTGGTGTGATGGCCGATATTCGCGTCGTTAATTGCTGCAATTTCATCACGTGCGTTGGATGTTGGTGTGATGATTGCTCGACCATCTGACGCGCTGACCCGGGTGTTGAGAAGAGTGTTCATCAGGGCGCTCCCCGCGTGGCCAATTTCTGCGCCTAGACGAAGTCTCAGCACGCTGTATTGAATGGGAAGATCATTGCACTTGTTAATAGACTGGGGGCCAGTGAACCATGACTCAAGCAGCTCCCGGCTCACGCGGTTGTCACCTCTTGCGAGAATTTCGGCCTCGTCAAATTTGAATGTGTAGCCGGAACCCGTCGAATGAGCCGCAACTTGAGAGCTGGCGTCATTTCTGCGCACCGCTGCCGCGTGTTCGGCCATTAACGTTCGTTCAGCACGGCAGAAGGATGATCCGAGTGCTCCTCCAAGATTGCCACGCGAGACTTCGTAAGTACCGTCAAAGGATTGACCAAGAAAAGACCAGATTCTGTGAGTTCATGGGTGAGATCGGTACGAAACTGCTCCTGCGGAGGATAGCCTAAATTTCTAACGTACTCGGCAGACCAGGAATTTTTTCCTAGAAGTTTACTAAGAATCAACAGTCTAATTGGTCTTGAAGAAGGAGACACGATCGCCGGGATAAGAGCTTTATTAGCCTGACGTTTCGGATTCCTACTCGAATCCATCGTCAGAGACAAAGAAGCAGAAACGGGTGGTTGTTGCACAAGGGGCTGCGGTATTTATAGGATGCAGTAGCCATGCTACCGCATACCTATGAAAATTCACGGCTCCCCCCTTCATCCGGGATCGTCGCACTTGGTGTGATCATTGTTTGATTGCCGACCTTCGCGTCGTTAATTGCTGCAATTTCATCACGTGCGTTGGATGTTGGTGTGATGATTGCTCGACCATCTGACGCACCGATCCTGATGTTGGGAAGAGTGTTCACATGTGCGCTCCCCGCGTGGCCAATTTCTGCGCCTAGACGAAGTTTCAGCACGCTGTATTGAATGGGAAGATCATTGCACTTGTTAATGGAATGGGGTACCTGTAAACCATGACTCAAGCAGCTCCCGACTCACGCGGTTGTCACCTCTTGCGAGAATCTCGACTTCGTCGAATTTGAATGTGTGGCCGGATCTCATCGAATGAGCCGCAACTTGTGAGCTGGCGTCATTTCTCCGTAATCTTCCACTTCTCAAGTTTGACCCCCTAAAAACTCATGAATAGGTCGGTAGGACACGTTCGTAATCATGCGTGGTAAGCTTCAGCAGGACCTTTTTCAGGTTTTCTTTAGTTCTTTTTGTTGCATTCCCACCATCCTCATACCTGCTTATGGACAAAACCATTCACAACGCTGAGGTGTTGCTCGAAAATGGACCAAGCTTCTGTGTTGTAAATTCAAATTGGCGAACACGTGTTTTTAGTAACTCTTCATCAGGCCAAAACGGTTACAAAGAAGTTTAAGTTATGCGAATTACATGACTTATAAATGATTCGGGGACAGTTAACATCCATCGTTCCCACGCCACTCGCATGACGAGGCGTGGTCGGCGTGTCGTGGTCATTGGGTTAAGGGGGCGAGGGAGAGGGGGGCCATAGGCTGTGAGTACGTCGGGTACCTTGTACACACACCCTGGCATCAGGAGGTTGGGGCGACATTGGGGTCGGCGTCGGCCACAGGCGCTCTGTCTTCCGTGGCCGACGCCGACCCCAATGTCGCCCCAACCTCCTGATGCCAGGGTGTGTGTACAAGGTACCCGACGTACTCACAGCCTATGGCCCCCCTCTCCCTCGCCCCCTTAACCCAATGACCACGACACGCCGACCACGCCTCGTCATGCGAGTGGCGTGGGAAAGATGGATGTTAATTGTCCCCGAATCATTTATAAGTCATGTAATTCGCATAACTTAAACTTCTTTGTAACCGTTTTGGCCTGATGAAGAGTTACTGAAAACACGTGTTCGCCAATTTGAATTTTCAATTGTAACATGGGAATATTCGCTGAACTTCTGTGTTGTGTCAAGGACTAGTTCCCGTTTCAAATCATATTTACTGATTTCTACCAATGTGCCTTATGCCTAACCACACACCCTGTACACTCGCCAAGATTTCTAGTTTGCACTGTCAATCAAGATCTGAAAAATATTGACAGTCGCTGGCAGGCGCGTCTTTCCTCGTTGGGCTTGGCTGATTCGTCCAAGAAACTCTTCTTGCCCTGGAGAACGGCACTTTTTCCCTTGCCACAACTTTTGCACTGAGCAACGAACAAGATCGTTGGTCCGCTTACTTTCCATGTTGTTTCTTGCACGAGCATTTTTCAATTGTTTCCAGCACTGTGCTGGTGCCGCGGATAGGAGACATGCTTAATATTCATTTACAACCTCCACCCCCACACCCCCCCCACCCCCTGCTTTGCTATCCGTGTACTGACACCACGGCACAAATGTCGCAGGCTCATTCTAGAGCTGTCCCCCCCCTCGGTCACGGATGCACATGACCGCGATGCAAATGAATGCGGCCAGTCGCCTTAGGGGGAATTTTCGCTTTTTCATCGGATGTCCTGATCGTCTCAAGCCGCAAGGTCCACTGTCGCACAAGCTGGGCGCATTCGTGACATGCTCGGCACCCCTCTCCGCGTTCTGATGGCAGGGCATAGTAAAGAAAACTGAAGGGTGGATGTGGCGCAGTGTTTGACCAAGCTTGACATCCCACGGCCGCCGCGTGGCACACAGGACCTTACTCCACGGGCTCTAGGCCTCATCTAGGGTGTCTCAGATTGCACGTAAGTGAGCGTATTATAACTCCATTAAGATGAAGCCATTACTCTCCGGCCCTCAGTCCGGAGTGAGACCGCGTTAGCACGTAAGTTGGCAGTCTTCCAGACCACGACTGTTAGCTGCTCATGATGGTTGTAAGGCACGGGGGACAAGTATGCTACACATACCACGTAATCAGACTGGTGGTTGATCCAGTTCAAAAGGCTGGATCGTCTGCGCCTTTAATAGACGGTCTGCCGATTGGCAGTTCATGAAATTAGTCTGCATACAGTGCGTGACCTATCTCATGAAATGTTGACTGAAATTCTGAAATGCGTTTTCGATTAGGAAGGATTACTTGGTCGCGGTTGTGATAATGATTATCCTAAGGTATACTGTTATAACATTTTGGACTCGGCAGGATGTCGGCTTTTAAATGCATTTCTTTTCAATCTCCTGTAGAAGGCGTGCTCGGTAAAAAATGGCTACTTAAGTTGCATGCATTTTTCCCATTGATTTTCGATGGTCTTGGAAATTCAAATATATTTTATAGAAACCACAAACAAAAATATGCTTTTTTTAGTCAGTCAATAGAGAATCACGTCTTCTTTATATTCTATACTTAAGGAAGGAGTATAATTAGGTTTTAAAAAAGTTTTCTAATTGCCGAAAAATTTGGAGCCTGATCATTCGTTGCATTAGCGCTTAGTGATTTCACTCTACAAGGTGCATGCGTTCCGCGTAAAGAAAATCCCATATTTTTTGTGTCATTAAAGAGATATCATACAAGGTACATAAAATTTTGCAACGGATGCGGACCATGTTGTACATTTCATGAGGAGCAGTGGTAAACGGCCAGGTACGATGCTATGTGAATGGACATATCGCGGTCTGCCGGTAGTTAGCAGCTAGCAGAGCAAGCAGGCGTGCCGAAGTCGTAACTCATGCGGTTGATATAACAGCAAGACAAACTTCGGCTCTAAGGATTCCAGCGGAGGGACCCTAGACAGAGACGATAAGGACGGGAAGGACTCCGACGTCGAATAAGCCCTCACTTAGGTGGTCCTGGACAACTGGGCCGACCGTTCAGTCAGTTCAGAACATTTGGGTGTGCTGTGAGCAGATTTACAAAGGTCATTTGCATATACAGTAGATGTGTTAACTGACTTTTCGGAATGTTTTCACTTCAAAGAGATTACTTAAGTGACGTCGTCATATTAATTACCGTGTAGCATAATCCCAGAATTTTCCAGTCACGTCAGCATTCCGGCTTTCGAAGGGGTTTCTTATCGTCAACCAGCATGAACTGAACTCCCTAAGAAGTGACTACTTAATTAGCATGGGTTTGCCATGCACATATTCAATGCTCTTATAAATTCGAATATATTTTGTAGAATAAGTATCCAAAAATATTTTTTCTTTACTAATTTGGCAGCAAATCACACCATCTTCAATTTTCTGCTTGAAAATGGAGTATCATTCAATTTTAGAAAAATTTATATTCTTGAGTAATTTTGAACTCGACCTGCCGGTACACTTGCACCCAGGGTTTCCAAGCCGCATGCTCTATACTTTACGTGTAAGGAGAATCATACATTGCTATGCGCTATTAAGATGACCCCGTATGGGGACCATGAAATTTTGTAATTGACGTGGACCGGGTTGTCCACTTTATACACAGCGTTAATTGAACAGCTGATGCGATGCTACATGATTTAATATTAAAAACCCTCTTAATTAGAAACGTTTTATAACCGAAGGATACTCTTTCTCCAGGTATGAAATTGAAAGAAGACGGACGTTGCTATCAAATGAGTTCAAGAAAGGATATTTTTCCGCATGTTTCTATAAAATGTATTTGAATTTAGAGGGACATCACAAATCAGTGAGAAAATGCATACTTCTTAAGTAGTCATCTTTTTGCCGAGTGTGGTTTATGCACAGTTATCAGTATCGCGACCCCATCTAGGTAGTCCTTTTCAGTCGAAATACATTTCGGCGTTTCGGTCACCACTGCCGAGCATAGCCGTCTGATGGCGTTTGCTTGAAGCAAAACAGCTGCTTTGTTGGCCACAGATCACTCACTTCGCCCAATTTACCGCACGCGATTGAGAGTTTGGTGCGTTGACATTTCGGCCTGCCGTGGTTTCTCCAGATTTGCACCCGCTTTGTCTCTCCTGGTGCATCTTCCTCAAACATTGTCCCTCCAGATATTTGCTCAAGACCCCCGGATTCGAAGGGAACCGTTGAGTAAACATCAAACTGAAACATACCCATATCATCGAAATAACTACGCAGTCGATTCCTCCTGTCGTTCACACGTTTCGGTTTGTACCTCGTCCCCATATAAATGTACTGGCCTTATGAGAGTTTCTCGAAAGCACGCGCATGCTCGCCAAATGCTTTTTTGAATTGTGCATTCGCTGATTAGGTAGATAGGATGTAGATAACGTCCTAACAGATTATGCTTGTCTATTCCCTGCATAGACGCCCATGTATAAACCGTCCCCGTGGTAGCACCATATATCGGCTGCACAGGCGAGGCATTATTATGCATCCCACTGCATTTGCAACGTACTGGGGTTATTTTGTCTTCTTACTGTACCGGTCGTTTGTAATGCGTGATCCGCCGCCTCATGCTCGGAACACCTCGTTGTTAGACTTTGTTCTCTAACAAAATACTGCTAAGACCGCATCGTTTTTACAAGTGCTTGGCTCGAATCAAGTCCTTCTAGAGCACAGGCTTCGGCCGTTCTGAGCACTTCCAGCACTTTTTTTTCAAATCCATAGTCCACATCCGGGTTTTTACGTTTAGGCGCCACCTATATATCGTGGGATGTCCAAGAACAATGACGCAAACATTGTACACTTGAACTTATTTGTTCACAACGAAAAGCTGCATGATTAAAATGGCAGCACCTTAGATCAAAGCCCACATATGTACCACCGGTCACCGCACTGGTAAGCCAACCACACCTTCGTCGTGCCAGTAGTACGGAATTGTAAGTCGTCCCACCAGTGGTCAGCCTGTGGCAAGCCTTGCTTATGTCTGTGAATGTCTCTGATGATGGATTCGAGTGAGAATCCGAAACGTCAGGCCAGTAAATTTCTTGTTCCAGTGATCGCATCTTCGTCTTCTGGCTTGCTTATGTGCTGCCCTTCCCCCAGCAGGACACGAGAATAGGAACGTTCTATAATAGAGGTGGCTTTGCGCACAATTCTAGCGAAATTATTGTTTGGCCTAAAATACGGGATTCAACGCAAGACTGCTTGCAGCACGGGGTGGGACTGGTCTACTTTCGACCAGTAATTTAATCACTTTAAAAAATCCCCCAGACGTTTTCCCTGTACCCGGAGTTGACTAACCGTTCTTTGCCCCCCCCCTTCCCTCCAATCCAGTCAGCCGAGCCATCAAGTACTCCGGTTTCGGTAATTTCGCGGGTTTCCTTGCTCGCCATGGTCTGATGGGTGGCAGCCAGCCGCCCAGTGATCCCTACTCCTCCTCGTCTTCGGACTCAGAGACGGAGGCCTACCAACAGTTGCGAGACAACGTCAACCCCGTGACGGGTCGCTTCGAGCCCTACAAGCCCAGTCCAATGGAGGGCATGTCGCAGGAACAGAAGGAATACGAAGCCATGAAACTGGTGGAGAAAATTGATAAACTGCAAAGGTAGGGACCCGCTTATACTGCCTTACCTCGTGTCACGTTTTGGAACTTTGCATTCTAACTCCGACCTGACAGATTAGTTACCCGCATAAGTTGAGCCAAGGTGCAATTATTGTCGGTTGACGGGACGTCGGCACTGTAGGTGGTTACAGTTCAGGTAGGCGCCGGACACGCGGGATAAGTCCAGAAGCAGGGTTGTGGATGCCAAATGCGGACAGTGTTAGTGGATCCAGATTGCATTGCTGCCACATCAGAGTCTCCACCCATAAAGTCGGCCACGACAGTGCAAACGCAGGCCTTTAAAGGTGGTCATCATGGAGCACGACTGCGGACGAAGTGGAAATGACCTGTCGTCTCTAGATGCCGTTTTCCGGAACTCCCAATTTTCAGCGGCAGTCTGTGGGGGGATAAGTTAAGACATCGATAGGGTTATAAACACTGAGAGTCAATAGCTGACCTCCTCTGGCCCTAGGTAGATGCAATGTCAGACTGAGAAGACAATGACTTCTGACACCGCGCACGAAATTTCCGTTGTCTCGTCCCTCTTCTCGGAACGGAAAAGAATGACACGGGACCCTCCCACACTGAGGTTTTTTAGATAATATCAAGCGCTATGAATTTGCACCACTTAATACTTAGTGGAAGTATGTGCTTTTAAATTTACGTCCTGTCTGCTTTTGCAGTTCGTATAATTTATTTTTTGGTAGTCTTAGCTGTTGTTCCATCGTTTTGTACGAAGACCACAGCAGCCGGGCTAGCGCTGTCTCATGCATGAGTCTTATCATGCGGTATGAGACGTTTCCAACCTCACCCCTCCACTTCCATTGTGTTCCCATTACAAGACTGAGATTATTTCAACTGAAAACAGGCATATACAGCAGAATTTATTGGGGCCAATAAATTTCGTGATGGCTTATCAACTGCAGCCCGTCTCTGCATGGAAGTGCACAGCATCAAAGAAGCCCTACTTAATCGTGTTTATCCTGCACGCTTCATTCAGAAGTACAGCAACCATTTACGGCCAAAGTTGACGGAACAGTCCGTTCCGAAGAAGCCCGTTATAATTTGTCTCCTTTTTAAGGGTGACAACGTCTCAAACACAATCAAGCGACGCTTGCGTTGCACCATAGAAAGAACGTACAACGCAGCAGAACTTGTCTTTCTCAGTTCCACAAAAGGCCTCCCAATTAATCGGGCATATGATACCTTGCCAATGCACGCCACCCCAACTTGCGTGTATGAATTTACATGCACTTACGGATGCAAGTACATTGGGCGAACGCAAAGGCAATTGGCAACCGGGGCCGCTGAACATTTGCTTGGTTGGCTTTTCAAGCAGGAAAACAAAACCCCCCGTTAGGTAACGGTCATGTTGTCGACCCTAACACATCTTTTCGGGTACTTGTCCGAGCGCATACAAATCGAACATTGTGTTACTTGGAAGCAGCTTACATACGGAGGGCGAAACCAGACCTGTGCAAGCAGTTGGACCACGTGATCAATCTGCAATTGCCATGGTTACATTCACGCCTCAAGTTACTCGTGACTGTGATTTGTTGTTAACATTCCGTCTCCATCTTTCCTATATAATGCTGATGGGAACGTCTTTCATCTGATTATTCATTGTCTTGAACCTTGACCTTGCCCTTATGCACTGACATTCTTTACAAATTCATTCGTTACCTATGTTATGCAGAGACGGGCTGCAGTTGATAAGTCGTCACGAAATTTATTGGTCCCAATAAATTCCGCCTTACATGCCTGTTTTCAATTCATACCCGGCTGCCGTTGATAAGCCGTCACGAAATTTATTGGCCTCACTGAATTCTGCTGCACATGCCTGTTTTCAATTCATACCCGGGAAAAAATGCTTCAGATTATTTCAACGTCTTGCCGGGAGGAATATGTTTGTTATATCTTTGTTATTTTATACATTCGTAAACGACTTCTCACACCGAATGCCCTCACCTATCACAGAGAGCCACCTTCCGGTAGCCTTTCCGGCGACCTATTCAGGGCTCCGAGAGAGCTAATCTGCTCCCCGTGTTGCTCAGGAGCTTTAAAACCATCCACCCCATGGTGGTTTGCTGTCGTCGTCGTCGTCGTGCAGTCTTTGTTAGGTTTTATTTGATTTACACTTATATCCTGACTCGTGTTCCCCAGTCTTCTTGATCGGCGACCTAATGCTCAGTCTTATTGAACTACAGAAGCGGCATAATTCAGCCCGGCACCGTCGGTGAAGACGGCCGTGTACACCCGGTGGAACACGTGTTGCAGCTCATTCAGGATGTGAAGGTGGACTCTCCCAAGGAGGACAGCGACTCTGATTGAGTTCCATCTTTTTTTGCCTTCCCCGACGCCAGCTGATCTCATCCCATGTACAATCGACCTACTGTCTATCCGGATTTTCCAAAAATTTGACAATCATTGCTCTACCCTCCTAGCTCTTCTGCTTGCCTCAGGACACCGCCTGTTCAATTTATCTGCTCTTTATCTTTCTCCTATTTACTTGCCCCCTCTCATCCGCCTTAACTCTGTGTTGGGAATCTAGGAGTTCCTGTCACTGCGTTTCTGAACTGACCCATATCATTAATAAAGACTGTGTTCCACCCGCTGTTTGTCTTTTGCCCTGTCTTCTTCGGTTATCTTACTCGAAAGTGGATTGCCTGAAACCACAGAGCTTTGGCCTGTTGGCGAGCGAGGAAGTATCAGGTTTTCCAATAAGCAGGATTGAACGAAGGCAACTCCGGACGGACGTGCCGATAGGCATTTATCCTGGTCCTGGTCAATTTGCGGCTTATTTGCCCACTGCTTTCACCGCGCGCATATTCCATATGCCGCAATCTCAAAGAGCACATTTTACAGCTACGTTAGTGGAATTAACCTCGATATTGGGGAGTAATTCATTGCCATCTGCTGCGTTTCTTTCACTTTACACTGGTTTAATCCCCCTGTGCTGGAGTTCGTTGTGTTCTCTGTGCAAAGAACTGTCGAAGTTTCCTCACAATTAGCGAAGACTGACAGATATGTGTCTGGGCTGTGTAGGGAGACTTGGACGCTCGTCCACCCTGTCTAGGCATTTAAGTGACTAGCCCTGTTGCATTTGCGCAAGGAACCTGGCGACGCGTGTTGTATTGCGGGTATCGACATATCGCAAGGTTAAGTTAGGCTTTTTAAAGAATTAAATTAGTCACGGCGTACAGTCCGAAAACGGAAATTGTTTTGAGAGGTCTTTAAAGCTAAGCGTTTGTGTCCCAACCGAGACAAAGTTAACCAAAACGCAACCGACGATTCTTGCAGCGTGCGTTGTTTGGTGAGTACCGCCACGGTACAAAAAGGTGTAACTACCCTTTTGGAAGAAGCGGATTACAGAAAGGGGGGCGAAAACCGAAGGCTATCTTATACCAAGTAATTTACCACTATAAAGATCATGCTGAAACGACTGTGCTTGTGGTTATATCGGTGTGCTAAGTAAAATTCAAGGGGTGACATCCTGTACTCACGAGTCTGAGAACTAAACGAGGCCTACTAAAACAAATATAGTAGTTGGTCGTACGTATTAAACCTAACCGGGTCGCACAACCTATCCTTACCGAAATTATTTAAATAACTGCGCTCGACGTTGGAATTGATATGGCAAACTGTGGTGCACCCATGGAGGATTGCCTAGCAGTCAGTATATCAGCCGGTGTCTACGTACGAAACTAATGAATTCTATTGATGGCTTTCTAACCTGATGGCAGACGGAGAGGCAGGAGAGAAGAAAGAATTTCAAAACAGATTTTGACGACGATCGTTGATCAGCTGTGGCCTACTTTGTGGAGGCGAGAATGCTCCGTATCCGCACCGAAATTTGCCGGTAAACCTTTCTGCAAACAGCGTATATGGCGTGGAAAGGGTGTTGACGAAGACTGTACAAATTGCAGTGAATATTCCTGGCTTCTTGGCCTTCGTGATTCAACTTTATCCTGACTCCACCCCCGGTTGACCTGAGGCTTGAACTGGATTCAGTTAGCCATCGATCTTGGGGTCCCTTGGTAGAACCGAGCTGGCATACTCCATCCCGCAATCTGGTTGGTGGACCAACCGGCACTCCTATGTCGCGTCGGATACATTTGATCACAGATGTGAGGACACAGGCTAATGGCTCAACTGGTAGAATCTTTGATTAAAAATATCGATTACCAGTGGTCCTCTGTTCAAAATTTTGTGCCCTCTAGGAGTGGAGTAGACGCAAGGCTTGCTGATGATGGTAACAACCACAAATAATCATCCCAATCTTTAGTTGTTTGCGCCGTGTGTCCTCCTTCGATCAAATTGCTGAAGCACAACTTTCACAAAACGATGCAGAGGAAATGTCCGCAGATGACCGCTCTCTACAAAATTCGAAAAATATTTTCTTGTGCACGGTTGTAGAATGAAAACGCCTGATTCAGCGCTGAAGGCACTTGTGGTTTCCTGTCAATCCACGGCGGATATCTGCTTGTTTTCTTTGCCTGAGGGACCATTCTAAGTCTAGTATTTTAACCAACAAGTCGAACGCGCTACAATATTCGTTGACCAATCCCTGCAATGTGGTGGTCCACAATATTGCCGAGACTTGCGTTTGCACGCCTAACATACAGTGAGAAAAACGTGCATATAGTACGCGAACTAACCGGCGAGAGGTGTTGAAATCTAAGAATTACCGCCAAGCACTCACAGACCGACACCAGTGCATGAACCCAATTCCTGCATTAATACAAAAGAACTCTAAGGGAACTGAAAACATAAAAGAAATATTTACAGTGAAATTGCGTTGCTTGACAATACAATCGTTCCAGAAATGAGGAGAGCTTCGAGAATATCAAACACTAATAGACCAATGTCTGACACTAGTTTACTTTAATGAAGTTTACTTCCAAATATACTTTAAGTAATGTCAGGTATGGCAGTTTGCTAACAGCCCACATTTTGAGTATAGATTCCAAAGCGGTTTCCGGCGAATTCGTTGTATTTTCTAAACTTTCATTAAGATAAAAAGGATTTTGCCTGATTTCATCGATAGGGACTATTCGATGGTAGTCATTTAAATAACTAAATGACAGAATATATAAATAATTTTGCTGAAGGATCCTTGGGGATCCCATCATAGCAAGTAAATATAAATGTTCAAGTAAATTTCAAAGCAAGTAGAGATTCTACACATTATTCAGTTTTCGGTCAAAGAATAAACAGACACATATAAAAACGAACAGCGTTGAGAGTGGGGGGTTCGAAATCGCTGAGGCCAGAGTGAAATTCTGATGAGTGTCGCTGATCGAGCGTAGAACGTGCACGTCAACCTAACCATGCTACTACTGTGAGAGGATTTGTCGGTAATTATATCGCATTTTGTGAGGGCGCGATGCATGAACTGAAAAAATCGAAAAAATTAACATTTCCGATGAGGTATCCGAGGGAGCGAGATTACACAAAAAGATGAAAATGTGAGTGGATACGGAAGTTTAATGGCGGCGTCCTAAATTCCGGGGAAGGACGGAGAAAACAACAGTTTCATCGAGTCAGTATTCAGATAAATGCGCAACCTTCTCTTAAAAGTACGTAGATCATCGGAAGACCGTATATTTAAGGGAAGGTTATTAGAGAGGAAAGTATACCTAGACGCGAAAAAAGGAAGTGCTTAGAGGTGGAGGAAGCGGGAGGAGGTATAGAAGAGGAAGAACTACGAAGATTTATGGGCGACAACTAGGGGTAATTGCTGAAATTCGAGGAAGATCTGAACTAGTATTAATGCGAAAGAGGAGACAGAAGCCTGTTTCTAGTCTTCGAACTCATAAAAATTTTAAGTTAGTTTGCTGGCATTCATCTAACTGGGAAATATTTGGATGTTCCGTGCCTAGAAGTTATCTAGTAAAATGTTTTCGAGCATTTTTAATTTTCGAACGACTAGCCTCGTTCATCAAACCATAAATGGACAGCAATACTCGGGAACAGGAAGTACAAGCATACGATAGAGTCTTAATTAAATTTCAGGAAGTTAGAAATTGTAAAAAATAAAGCCAAAAATCTGGACAGCTTTTGCCGTAATTCTGGCAGCGTGTGGCAAAAGGTCAATATTATCGGGGCAGCTTAAACCTAAATCCTTGATGGTGGTACATTCAGTCATAGGTGTGCCTTGAACGACCACTGGTTTGGGCAGCCTATCAGGTTCAAAACACATATAGCGACATTTAGAGGGAGCGAATTGCACTAGTCATTTTGAGCTCCAAGCTGAGAGAGCAAGCAAGTCAGCATGGATTTGCTCCAGGCAATGAAGGCTCGTAGATTTTTTGAAAGAATATACACATTTGATATCATCGGCGTAAATTAATGATTGTGAATGTTTAACTGCTGCCGAAATATCATTTATGTAAAGCAAGAACAAAAGAGGACCTTAAACGGTACCTTATAGGACACCACTTACAATAGGGCTTTCATTGGAAAGTGGAGATCCCACCAAAACCATTTGTTTACTATTAGACAGGTATGACCTGAGAAAGTCTATTAGTGCACTGCGAATTCCCATAGCTTCCAATTTAACCAAGAGTCTATTATGTGGTACTTTATCAAAGGATTTGCTAAGATCAAAATAAATAACGACAACAGATAGATGGCCATTACGAAGAGAGGTAACTAAATTGATAAACGACAGATGACATGTTTCACAAGAGCGATCTGGTAAAAAACCATGCTGGGAAGGGCTAATAACTTGATTTGATATGCAAAGACGGTAATTTTTAAGGTGATCATTTTTTCAATGCTTTAAGCGAGAGAAGGTGTTTTATGGACACTTCGATAGTTCCGAACATCAGAACGACAGTCAGACTTAAATACGGGAATAATAAGAGCTTTCCAATAGTCAGGAAAGAGGCCATTTACGAGAAATACTGAAATGAATTTTCTAAGCAGAGGGGAAAAATCTCTGACCTGTTCTATAAGAGGGTTTGGAATACTGTCCGTACCCACTGAGCGGAGTAACTAAGATGGGTTGTCAGTTTTTAAATAGTTTCAAGTAAAAAATTGATGATGCTGAGGGAGGCACCAGACAACGGAGGAATTGAAGGGATTGGGTGAGTCTCAATGATAAAATATTTGGCGAAGAATGAATTTACCATTTCAGCTTTTACTGATTGCTCTGTATTTTACCACACACTAGGAACTGTGCAGTAATGTCTATGTGGAAATTAATCTTCGACTCCAAGAATGTAATATTCAACAGGAGACCATTCCAATGCATAATGGCATAGGAGACCCAAGTCGTCAGTTTATGGCAAAAAAATCCTGTGCGACCAAAACGAACTCAACGGGAT